TGTGACTTGGAAAATCCGTGACTTGCCCAGCTCTGTAGCGCTGAGACATGTTTTAAGATGAGCGTAGCAGTTTTTTCTTCAATTAAGACACATCGCAGCTGTCTGTGCCGTTTGGGTTACGGTTTATAAGCAAATTATAAAAAAAGTTACGGAATTTCTTTACAGTAGCAGAGCGGCGCCGCACAGTGAGTGTTGCTGACTGGCGAGTGGTAAAAAGTTCGAAAAATCGCATGAAGAACTTGTAAACTTTTCCGAATTTTGTTTGTATACCGGTAATTAACGAGTTGCTTCCATCATTTGTTTTAGAATCCAACGAAAATTTTTCTTAAAGCATTAGAAAAGAATTTACCAACATTTGTTCATCATTTTATTAAAATTGGTTTACCAGTGCATAAAATATTTTTTAAAAATGATGTTCCACAACAAAATCGGTATGATTACTTCCTGGCAAAACTTTACAATGAACAAATTATTGTGAGTAGTAATAAAATTGTGTTTATTTTACTATACTTTCACACAACAAATGATGCTTTTTTTAGTATGGTGATGGTGGGACACGTGAAAACCCTTTGGCTAAAGTTATACAAACCGATGAGTATTTAAGAAAAAGGAAAATAGAATCAACTGCTGGTTTAAATCAAGTACTGCGATTATTAGTTGGTGATTATATGAAAAACCTCTATTCGGTGCCACTAGCAGATAATGTTGAACCAACAACAGGTAATAATGCTGTCCATGTTACAGTACCTGCCGAGCAACATAATGAAACACAATTAGCTATTGACACCATTTATCGTGATTTATTTCTATGGACAATCTTCAATGATTATATTGATATGGCTAAAGTATTTCTGGCACATATGAAACATCGTATTTGTGGTGCTTTGATAGCTACGAAAATTTTGAAGTCCTATCGACAAATTTCACCATATAACGATACAAAAGAAACATTTCTACAAGAAGCTAAGTATTTTGAACAATATGCTATTGATTGTCTTGCAGTATGCCATGAAAATGACCCAAAAAAAGCAACTGAATTAACAATAAGACAAATAGATTTTTTTGGCGGTGTAACGTGTCTGCAAGTAGCTGTGGATGCTGACGATAAACGTTTTGTTGGACAATCTTGTTGTGTGCAAGCAATGACAAATATTTGGTATGATAAAATGCATCCCGATCAGACAAAAAAACGTTCAAAACTAGCATTACTGCTTGGTTTTCTATCATTGGGGTTATTAGCACCAGCAATGGTTCGATTTCGTGAGGTATGTAAAATTGTGTCAGACATTTTTAGAAATCCGCTGAGTCTGTAAACAAAAGTTCAGAATATTTTAGTAGAACGTGCAGATTCTTTATTTGAAGTTATCTGAATATTTAGAGTTTCAGGCTTCTCTTCACTTGAGATGAGAAAATTATATATTAAACTATGAAAATTAATTTGACAGAAACTTACTTTTTTTCTGTCTCGTGTAAGAAAGAGAGATTTTACTCGATCTAGTTTCGTCATATATAACGGCCTGTATATAAGTTTTTGCGTAAAATGTCGAGTGATTGTTTCTTCATGTTTCCACTATTCTGGAGATTTCGCTTTTTTTTGTTTGAAAGAGCAAAGTATGAACTACAAATAAAACTTTATTGAGAACAAATTCATAAACTAAACATCACTAGATGTTCTGGTAAATTGTTAAAATGTCCCCTCTCTACCTTTGAAACGATTCTTTTTTTGTTTAAGAATAAGTTCGAAGAATGACTGATTATTACATCTAAGAGTGTTTGAAATGCTCTTCCGAACAGTGTGCTCTTTCAAACAAAAAAAAAGAAATCTCCAGAATAGTGAAAACATGAAGAAACAGCGCTCGATATTTTCTGCAAAACTTAAACATAGGCCGTTAAGTTAGAAGAATGGAAAAACATCGGAGAAGTCTGTTATTTTTTACTTCTTTACAGTGAGCTCTGAGTCTGAAAAAACTTTACTTATTCAAACGTTTTGAAATTTAAATAGTAAATTTTCTTATAAGAGCAAATTATCAAATCAGAGCTTATATCCCAAAATTTTAGATGACTGTGTTAAAGAGCAAATCATTTTCTACTAAATCTGCTATAGATCATTGATATAAATTTTGAAAGAAACACCCCAAAAAGTGATCTACAAGTAGTACCACTAGAGGAAAAACTATCGTTTTTCATTCAACATACTCTATTTTTACCATAAAAATGACTTTCGATATCATTATAAATGTCATTTTCCAAAATCAGTATCAAAACTGAACTGAATAATATGCAGTTCGATAATTTTTAAAGCAAAAATATTGTGTCATCGATAAAATGCTTGAGTCTTTCCAGCTTTGCTCGTCAAGAAGGAATTGCATCTGATTCGAATACGTTGTTGAGAAAAGATACAAACGCACCATCGTTCAATGTATTTTAAGACGCTGCCATCCCACTACAAATTCGAAATTTTCTCAAAACATTCGATATGGAGCTCGTAATGGTTTTATTAGTCTGAAAATGTTGTGGCTGCAATATTCTAGAGTCGGATTTTTTACTTTCGTTCTACTTTTTTATAAAATTAAAGCTTTCTGGAAAACGTTTTGCAGATTTTTCGAGTTTTTGATATAAAACTCTTATTGCGAAGAAACAAAGTGAACATACCCTTTAAAACCCTTTAATCAATTTTTTTCTCGTTTCTGATGATGTTCCAACTAATGACCATATTTCTTTGTCTGGAGAAAATGATTCATGTTGATGAAGCTATTTAGTGATTTTTCTGAACAAGATTCGATACAATTGATTTATAAGACTATGATAGAATGTGGTTAAACCTTTTGGTTATTCTTGGGTCAAACAATATGATTTTGGTTTGACGAGTTCTATTCGCTTATAAATAATACTTAGCTAATTCATCTTGTGGAAAATCTTGGAATTGTATTCAAGAGAGCGATTTCGTAATAATATTGGTAAATGATGCCGATTGGCATATGATGCATCGTTTCGTGTTGCAAAAAAACGTAACCTAGCTTTGACTGTAATGATTTTTCCGTTTGATGGGATGGATGGTAACAGAATTTTTACCTTTCAGTAATAGTAAAAAAATATTCATCACTAATCAATCAGTCAGCTAGAAACTGCCAGCCATTGGTCATTGCACGATGAAGTGCGCCTTTTTGAAATACAAATCTGTTGTGGATAAGAATGTCAAAATATACCTAAATATCTTGAATAGTTGGTATATCCTTATTATTGGCGCGTTCTAGTTTATTTGATGTATTTTCAGCATTGATATCTTCAGATTTCACATATTTATACAGATAAGAAATGCATGCCCTTTTCCCAACCGCAGTGCGACCTTCCAATAATACGGGGATACTACAGGCGATTGATCCAAGCGCCCGTACTGGCATATTCTTTTCGCTTTTCCGTTAATATATATTCATTCCAGGAAATTCTTGAGGTTTGTCTTCATTGGCGAGTCTGATCTATTGCGGCTAGTATAATACCTACAGACATAGTACATTCAAATCGACCAAGGTGTTCACGTTCTGATGGGGTTTGTGATTTTGCAGCCGGTATAAGCCACTCTCCCAATCATTATGTTCGATCGAATTATGCGTTTCTATGTGTTGTATAATCGAATTATGTGTTTCTAATGTGTTTTTCCATACATTTGGATCATTGGATCAAAATGAATGTCTGTGGAACCTGCTACTTTGAATGTAGCTGATCCTTCGTGTCTAATAAAATCTGACAGGGGTTAGTAGTCTATATTAGTCGGACAATTATCAAAATATCTCTGATTTTGTTGTGCATTTGTTATTACTTTAACGGAACGAGTTATAGGAAAATTCTGAAAAACATCTCAAAAACCAAGTTTTTCAATTTTAGAAACCCTGTAAGTCAGTAAAGAAAAGTCTAAAATAAAATTCCAAAAAATTACCTCTATAATAGTGTCTTGAGTATCTCTGGTCAAATTTTGAACTCGATCGGATGAAATTTAAGGGGGGTCATAATGTAGCACAATGAAGCCTGGTAGCAAAAAAGTAGTTTTCGAGAAAAAACGGATTTTGTACATAAGTCACTTTTTTCCGAGCATTTGCTGCGATGCTTATATCTCCGCGAAAACTCATCGGAAAATTCTGTAAAACGTCTCGTTGTGAAGAAAACACTTTCTTCTGTCAGACTATGTGTAAGAAAAGTATGTACAGAAAATGCGAGAAAAGTTTATGAAACTAAAACATTGACTTTTTTTAGGTTTTGAAGGAAAAACTTCAAAACTCCATAACCTTTTGAGAAAAGATCGTAGAGTACTGGGAATGGTCTTATTTTGTAGCCCACACTTTCCTCTACATCAGGCTATGCGCAGCTCAAAATCTGCAATTTTTACAAAAAAGAAGGGGGTTACCCTTAACTTGAAGCTAGTCTACAAAATAAAACCATCGCATTCTCCATAGAGCCTATATGAACAGAGAAATCTAGGAAGAAAATATGTCATTTTCTGATCATTGTTCAGTCCATAACAGAGGCAGAAACGAGCCGAATATTCGTCCATTCGAGTCATTTTTGAAAAAATGCAGTCGAGTCGGGTCCGGCAAAGCCCGGAAAGGAAAATTCAGTTCGGTAAAGTGTATTACCTCTAATATTTTGATTTAAAACTTAAACAAGACGAAAATATTTAAATCCATTCTCATTCTGAAAACAAAATGAGCAGAACACCTATTCCAATTTAACTAAATTAGTTGTAGCAGTAGAGCGGCAGTTTAGTGCTGCTGGATAAATTGCTACCCAAAGACGTTCTAATTTGGATCCAGCGCCTGTTAGCAATGTTATTTTATTACGATCAGTTGAGAATAATAAGTTAAAAGATTGAAATTTGTGAGAAGAAAAATCTTTCTTCCCTTCACTGACGAGGAAACCTCTTGAGGTTATAAATCGCTTTCGAACTCGGACTACTTGTATCTTGTAGACCTCAGTGAGTAGTGAAATACCCTAAGTTGGTTCATCCCCATGGTAGAGATGTGCAGGGCGCCCTTACCCTACCCTACACTACCCTGCAGGGTAGGGCCATGGCTCAGAAGTCACAGGGTAGGGTAGGGCCAGGGCTCTAATGTCGTCTAAGGTCACACGGTACGGCTTGAAGGGCTCTAACACCACCTGAAACAACAGGGTAGGGCCAGGGATCGAGGATCACCTGGAGCAACAGGGTAGGGTAGGGGGAGGGTACAACAATTTTTCACAGGGTAGGGTCAGGGCTCCAGAAACAGCTACCCTGCACATGTCTACCCCATGGTGCTTTGTTGCTAAGATATTGAATTTTTAGTCAGTTTT